TGACCTAGTTGAAGTTCTTTTAGTTCTCTTAATGGACAATATATCATCTGTTTCTGATTCCTCCAGTGTGGATCTTATTAGATCCACCAATACTCGCTTTTGACTCCTAGAGTCGGAAGCTACGGGTATCGTAGTGATACAAGGACTAGCTATCCTCATCGGTGTTCCCATTCGCCTGTCCACGTTGTGGGCAGGCTCAACTCTCCTGTCTGGGCCCTTGGCTGTGGCTCCAGACATATCTTGATCCTCTCTGGATCTAGACGTTCAGCTTTGAGTTCTTATTGAAGTCATAGATCTATGATCTATCAGCCACACTGTGGTGTTCTTCTACTGATTTAGAAGAATAAACAGTAAATGTCTGTTTACTGTTTCCAAGAATTCCAGCGAGTGTTAAACTTGTCGGTTTGGGTAAAAAGATCGGTTTGTTCTTTTGTTCTCGCAGTGCTGCCAAAAGTTTTGGCAGTCAAAAATTGTAAGAAACTATTGTGTCACACTAAACAGACTGCGCCAATATTCTATTGGTGTCTGCGTGTTGTGTGGTTACAAGTAAGTTCTGCTTGCTTATCTAATTACCTGTGGACAACTGTATAGTTGTCCACTATCTACAGGTGCCCCTAGTGGGCAGCTTATATAATACAACCCATAAGCCACTCTGGTGACTTATATACCCTAATTAGTAGCATATATGCTACTGTAAGAATCTACATTCTTACAGGCAGGGCATGCAATGTTGGGTGAGACTGGAGCCATCTCGTATATTCACACAGGACCCTGTAGAACCTATTCATCTTCATTTGTGCATCCCTGCTCACCCAAAGCCATTGTCTTGAACATCAGCTCAGACCCTGAACTAGCCAACATACTCACAATGAAGCTCTCAGACTTCATCCCACTCTCGCCTCTTCATCCTGCTCTCACTTCTGGCAACTGTTCAATGGGTTCTACTAACAAGTGAAGTTTCCCCCCATCAAGAACATGTGGCCTACCTTGATTGGGGTTCGATGGTGGCAGGATGTGGCCTATGATACTATTCGTAGTTGTTCCCCCACCTACGCACACTGCTGAGTGCTCCGACTCAGGGGGACACTGCGCATTTTTTTGTACATATTCTCAGGAATGTAGCCATGGGTTAAGAGCCATAGAGAACACGGTTTTAGGTCACTACTATGGCAGAAAGGCATCGTTGCGATCTCTATGCAGCACACCTGCCCTACAGGCGACTCGACATTATTGGCACAGCGAACATGTCCTAGGGTGACACCACACACCCACAGACCACTGCCGCCCACCACCATGTGTATGGCCAGCCAGCAAGCCTCACGTGCTTGAGTCAAGACCAAAAGTAAATTATAAATTCATTTTAAATCATTTTAAGTATTCACAATTCATAAAAGTAAAAAAATATGTAAATGGATAATTATATTGTCGGGAGAGGAGCTACGAAAACAAATGCGACTGTCAGAACAAATCACGTGACTTACTTGTCTTGTTCAAATTCCAATTCTCTGCTTCCTGGGTGGAAGAAGCAACATCTCCAAGTACACGCAGATGCAGCTCTTTGTGATGCTCAGGAAAGTAGCTGCAATTCAATGCTTTCCATATTAAGAAGGATGGCCTCTCAACTATAATTGACTCTCAAATGGTGTTACAAATGACTTTCTGGTCTGTTTGATCCCTTTATTTACTATATGCATGCTTTATTGACTAGTCAACTGATCTAGAAAGCCAAACCACTCAAGGCCCTTTCAATTATTTGTGCACATAGGGAGGAAAATATCGACAAAATGTTGGCAGCTGCTCATAAGCAATTTACATAAAGGGGTTTGACTTCGTTGACAATGTTTTGCATCAGGAGCATGCCTACCATGTTCAGCAAGTCAGCTTGGTCTCAAAATCCTTGACAGGTTACCAGTATAGCAGCATCTCAAAAAAAGACCTGGTTAGGTACATAACTACTTGATATATTCCAACAGTTTACTGACAACAGTGGCTTGCATTTGTTTTCATAGTTCCTCTCTTGACAATATAATTATCCATTTACATATTTTTTAGTTTTATGCATTATGAACCATTTTTTAATTTACTTTTGGTCTTGACTCGAGCGCGTGAGGCTTGCTGGCTGGCCATACACACGGTGGTGGGCGGCAGTGGTCTGTGGGTGTGTGTGGTGTCACCCTAGGACACTTTCGCTGTGCGAGTCTACAGGCGGCGCACCAAAAAAAAAGGTAAAAAAAGCGACGCACGTCAAGGTTTTCGGGCTGTAACGTACACTGTGTTCATAAAGGGTCGAAATGGACGTCTTTTAAATATTTCCTTTTTTTTAGCAAGCTTCTCAGCACGTACGTAACTAGTAATTCCTCCGGTCACCATTGACGCAGTCGAGACGTCTTGGCACGTATATCGACTGAGAGGATGTTGACGGTGACAAATGGTGCTGGATAGCGTCTTAAGACGTCGGCTCTTCGTTCTTGCAGAACATCCAGTAGAGCTGTTGCAAACAGTGATGAATGGGCTCTCGACGTCGTCAGTTCCCTAGCCCCTGCAACGAGCACAAGATTCCCATGCGCTGTGTCTCCCGCCAACCCACTTATACCACATCCCTATTCTGCTCTGCTGCTTATCGCACCAACCAACTCCCATCCAGCGTGCCCTTGCCCGTCTCCCGCAATGCCCAAGCCTCGCGGTCCAAGCTCTTGCGCGCTACCTCGCAGTCCACGCGGATGTCCTCGATCAACTCTTCCACCCCGGCGTAGTCCTTCTCCTCCCTGATGACAAGCAGCCGCATCTCGACGCCGTAGAAGTCAGCTCCGAACTCGTGGAGCACATGCGCCTCAGCCGACCGCCCCGTGTTCTTGTAAAATTTGTTGTATCCGATCGACATGACCATGGGATATACGCTGAACCCGGAGTACGTCTCCGGGGCCGTGGTGTGGTGCTGATGATGTAGTTGGTTGGTTCGGATGTGAAGGCGGCAGGCGTAGGGACGCCCAGCCAAAGTACACCCCGGGTTCGATATTGGCGATCCATGGTGTCAGGTTGTCGTCGACGGGGAGGTTGGCGGTGGGGATGCCTAGTTCTTTGGAGCCACGCCCGAAGCCGTGGATGACTTTGCCTTCCATCTGCAGAGGGTAGGGTGCTTCGAGCCCCGTAGAGGGGCCGATGATGAGTGGGCGGGCGGTGACCATTGGATAGAAGCTGAGAATAGGGGGCTTTTGCTCTCTGCTTGAAGTTCCAATATTCTAACGGCTGAGTAAGATCGACCTTCCGGAGCCACCTAACGTGTACGTACTCATCTCGTCAAGTTTCGAGGATCTTAACCGTTCGATAGAGAAGCTGCGATTCACAGTTTGTGCTGGTACTAGCTGGGAAGAAATGTACGTCTTTTACTCTGTCGAACAACTACGCAGAAAATTATGCAACGAATAAGCAGGCCTAGCAAGCCGGATTTAGAAATAGTTCGATCCTTCGATGCTGAAGCCCTCCTAGAATACAGGTAGGGCTCAGAATCCGTTCACCCGGAATAACGAAGAAAACATGGAGTCTATCGACCAGCGAATTACTTTGTCGTTTCTAACCTATAGCTCCTAATCGAGGGCGAACGAAGAGGGCACGAAACCGCCAAGCGTTCTGCGTTTGAGGTAAAACGGTAACAAATTTGGGTTACACATCCCCAATTGCGGCACACCAATCAGCATAACGGAGGCGGTTTCCGTACCCTCTCTCCGTCTGACAATTCCATGCGCTGAGCCTAGACGAAAAGACGGATGACTCAGCAACCCAACCTCACCACCGTTCCTCCTGTCCGTTTGCTTATTCATCTAGGTTCGCCTCCTGGACGCAGAAATACGTGTTTAATCGAGTACAGTTTCTAATCTTCTAGACTTCTACCACGCGATTGCGGCACCCCTGCCTATCGGCCAACCCCGCCTATCAGCAAGCCAACTCACTTTTAAGTTCTCCTGCACCCAACACCCAACCTAATCATTTATACCGATATCGACCAACAATGAAGCTATTCGCATACACTGTTGTTGGTGGCAATCGTCACGTTCCGTGACGTACGCAATAGAAAAAAAACTCTGCAATCTGACACAATGAGAATTGACTCTAGGTATGCCCGGATGACCAGCCACTCACGAACTCGACTGAAGACCGACACAGTTGTAACTACCCGAATGCGCCCAAGAGCTCACTCTGATATGTGCTTCTGGATAGACAGATAACATCCGCCATTGTGGCCACGGTAAGGGGACACCGGATGGGCACTGCTGCTGCATAGTGGCAGGATAACCACCATAAGCATAGTTGCTCGAGACTTTCGACTGATAGCTCTCGCTGCTGGCCCAAACGACCTCCCCAGACGGAGTAGCAGTAACTGCGAAGATGAACTGCGTCACACTTGAGAAGGTATAGGTAATAGAGAAGGAGTGGAACTAACCTTTGCTCCTCGGTTGGGACGTCCTGGAAGGGGTTGCTGGTTGCATAGACCGCAGTGGGGCTGACGATGTAACTCTGGACTTGGTAGATTGGCCCCGGGGAGTAGGATGGTTGGGGAAAAGTGTAAGACGGTGGGGGGGGAAGTGTAGGACGGTGAGGGGGAGTGAGACGATAAGGAAGAGGTGTAGCATGATGAGGGAGAGGCGCAAGACAAAGGGGGAGAGGCAGGGGAATCAGAAGAAGAGGCGGACGAAAGAGAGGTGGACGAAAGAGAGGTGGGCGAAAGAGAGGTGAGCTTGGAGGTCGAATGATATCATGCTCCGCCAGGTAAGCCAGTAATTCGTCTCCTGCGTCAAACTCATCGCTATCTTCCTCGACTTCCTCCTCTTTCTCCTTGTATTCGTCCTCATCAGCCCCGTCAGAAGCAGAAGGACCACGGGTCGTGTTCGACTGCCGAGTTCAGCACCATCCAGCAATGGACGTCCTGGAGATGGAAGACAAGGCTTTGCACCGAATCGAACTCCTCCTCTCCGCACTGCTGTCGTGGATGGTAACAACGCAGTCGTAACGGATATGCGCCCGTATGCGTAGCGACCTGCTCGTGGAGGATTTCGATATGCTCGTTGACGTGATCACACCAGTCCCTGGGCTCGATAAAGTGGCGCATCCCGATCAGCAGCGTCCTTACGCTTGTCACCCAGACAGAAGGGACAGTAGCCAGGGGACGCGATGGACTTGTCGTAAGCCTGTGTCGGAAGCTGTCCCTTGCCGTCGAGATGGGACTGGCAGCGGTTCGTCCACTCGAGGAGGCTGGCGAACCACGAGTTACACAAAAAGCAGAACTCGCCAAAGCGGTAGTTGGCCTGTAGCTCCTTCTCGACACAACCGTAGACGTGGCGTGAACGCTTCTCGTCGCTGTGAACAAAAGACGGAGAGTCAGCAAAGAACGATCACCAGGCAAGACGAGACGTAACGCATCACTCCTCTGTCTCCCCCACGTTGGCGCTCTTGTTCTACAAATGCTCGATCAAAAAAATAAGGCCGTGAGGGACCGGCCAATGGCCGCTCCTCGTGTCGGTCAGACTTCCGAGGGTCATCTGTTTGGAAATGAGGTGGCGATCTTTCTGAACGTTGTTCACGTGGTGGTGACCGAACTCGACGAGGAAGTATTGGAGGCACAACTCCGATAGCTCGGGGTCCTGTTGGTAAGTCAGCTACAAAAGGTCTCTCTCTGTCCCTGTACCAGGGTCTTCCACATCCACGTTTGTTATGATATTTACCTTCACCTGAGCCGTCATTTATCTCGAAAAATCTTGTTGGGAGGTGATGACCCATCGACCCATCGAGATGCGTGTGTCTTCGATGTCCACGCCAGAGCGCGACGCCCTGCTCTGTACGGACTCCCTGCCTTGTGGTGCCAGGTCGGAGGGTCGCCCTCCCGGTTCGGTAAAGCACGCCTGGGACCTGAAGGTCCCGCCACCGAAGGAGAACCATGACAAAGTGGAAGGACAGTAGGACAAGAACACTTGGCAGAGTTCGAGCGCCCGAGCGCCCGAGTGACAAACATTCAAGGGCCCATGGTCTAAGTCTCCTGCAAAGAATGGAAGCAACTGTATTGTGGCTAGAACGTAGTTTTGGCAGTAGATACATTAAATAAAATCAATTATTACTAAATGGAGACATTGGGTCGAGAAGAAGGAGTCTGCAGGGGTCGCAGGAGGGGTTCGTATTCCCAGATCCAGAGCGAGCCCCATGTTACCCAGCAAAAAAAAAAAAACCGGTTGTCCACATATAAATACGGCTTGAGTACTTGTGAGGATGTCAAAGGCACCTCCACAGGTTCCCCACTTTTCTTCGTAGTCGCCTTCACTCAACACCACCATATGAAGCTCCTCACTCCTGCGTTTGTCTACGCCGTGCTCACCATCACCCCTTCGCTTGTGGCCGCTCAAGGAAGTTTGGTCCAGTACATTATCTTCGAACCGCTCAGTTGCAGCTCAGGACCCGCTCTCGAGTGCGGCGATCTTGCCCCAGACGTTTGTTGCTTTGAAGATCAGTTCCTTGGAGGTGCTGCAGCAGCCGGCAACTTCCGTCAAGTTCAGCCCGACCTCCAGGTCTCCATTACGTCCGTGCAGAACAACAACGCCTGCGCTGTCACCATCGCCTCTGTTGGAAACGGAGTTTGCGAAGTTGTTGAACCAGGCAGCATCATCGCTGGGGGAATCTACTTCGATAGTCCAGTTCGTCGCAGCGCAGAAATGGCCTCGAACACCACCAGCACTAGCAGCACCTGCAGCACGAGTCAAGGAGCCGATTACTTCCTTCACGTAGATGAAGACGGATTCACCTACAAAGTCGACGCAAAGAACGAGGCCCATCGCGAAGGATTTTTGAACGCTACTTCGGCTGCCGAAAGGTCAGCATATGTTCTCGCCAACTACGAGATTAAAGAGCCGAGTGCGAGCTACACCGTGCACACTACTGTGAGTGTTCAAGCCTGCTTTAACGAGATAAATTTTCCTTTTCTTACTGTAAACATCTTCAGACGATAAACACTGCAGGAAATGTGTAGTGAAGCGTGAATCAGCCAAGCGTCACTGAACGTTCGACGCGCAGAAGCAGAGAGTAACAGTGTTGACATCGTATCCTGAAGCTTTTATGTCTGTAAATCGATGTAGAAATGGTTATCTTGTAACGGGCATACCGAATTGAAATTTGTCTGAATAATGACTGTCCGCCCTCTCCAAACGGGCTTGTCACAGTTCACTAATGCGATATAATAATGTTAGGGACGAGAGGAGACTTCACCAAACTTTCCTCACCAAGCAGTATATGGTCTAAGAGTAATCCTCTCGACAGGTGGGATTATAATCTTGGCGTGTAATTTTCTATCAACTTAGCGTAGTTGATTGATTTACTTGGGTGCAGCAGCCGGGGTGGATAGTCGATTGGTATGTACCTTAACAGGACTCATTCCTACAAAATGCCAGAAACAGCGGGGTTGGTGTGCAGGAGTGTAGGGTGTGCGCGGGAGCAGCACCCTCAAGCCCCCACACACCCTTGGTAGTTATCCTTGGCCTCCACATGTATCTTAGACATTTGCCAAACACGTAGCATTATTGTAAATAGCATATTGAACACTTTTAATCATTTGTCAGGTTTTGCCAGGAGGAAAATTAAGTTCTGCCAAATGCCATGGTAATTGCCAGGTGGCATAACTAGTCTGGCAAAATGGCAGGTGTCTGCCAACAACACTAGATGGAGGCCGGAGGCAAGAGCAAAGGTAGTATAAATAAAACGCCAAAACCATAGTTATCGGAATACATGGCTAGCTACTGCGAGATTACCAATATACGCCAACAGATAGATGGCCCAGAGCTGACTGGGCACTGTCCAAGCCCGAACACCATGATATTTCACTATTGCGCCCCATCGGATGGGCACCAGCATATTGGATCACACAGTTCATATTATTCTTCAGTATAACATACAAGCTTAACTTCCAAAAAATCTTGTCTTTTCCCGTTCAGCTAGTACGCAGCTCCCCCACCTGAAAGGGAACGGGGGTCATTTGCTGCGTAGAATGTGCCCTTGTTAGCGGTGATCACTATTTTCGTCGAATCAATACAAGTCAAAGGAAGGAGAAAGCGGAAAAAATGACTCACTGTGTCCCCGGCTGACAGTTTCGTCCTGAGAAGTAACATTATCTGCGCATGGCATCGAGTCAGAGAAGCAAAGATGAAAATCGTTCTACTCAACAGTCAATATTTGCCAGGAAAGCCTTCGTGCCCGGAGAAAATGGGGCGATATCAATGGCTGCTGATCCCTCCTATTTTAAGATGGGCGCAACATCGTTAGGGGTGCTCGATACTGTGATAAAGGAACGCCAAATACATCGAAGTATGTTTGATTCGTCAACATATCGTTCCATCTTGGCTGGTGCAGGGCAAGAGTAGGGTCCATTTTCTGGTCAAGGTGATGGTAGACGTTTTGAATGGTCGTAGAAATAATTCTAGCGCCTCCTGCTGAACCTGTGGCCAATCTGAACTCCCCAGTGACAAGGTCTTCAGCAATAGTAGATGCAATGGAAGACAAAGGGCGCTTGAAGGGGGCAATCCTGTTGGCTGGCGAAAAGGCGGGTGACTTGCCGGGCACTAAGCCAGACATCAGGTATAGTGGAACAAACGAAAGGTGAAGGTTGACATACCTGCAAAGTCGTTCACCTGGTCTGATGTACATTAAGATAAGGAAATATACGGCGACACAAAGGCATCTCACTGTTCAAAATGATACCATCTTTCGTCATTATCTGACTCCCCCAGAACAGATTTATAGCTTAGGCCGATGAGAGTCAGAGGATGTAAACCGGATCTGAGAAAACACGCACTTGTAGTTACAGATAAAACAAGACCTGAGTCGTCCGCAGCGACCATATGCGACGTCCCGTGATCTGGCAAGTTAAGGTAGTTGGAAATATCATACTGAAAAAAAGATTTTAAATTCCGTCAAAGACTCTGAGCCACGAGAAAATGCCCTACATGGCTATCCACAAAGTTCATCGTATCACTGATTTGGTTGCGAACCTCTGCGGCGGTTGATTCTTCCAGAAAGAGTCTATAGAAGATGAGCCACTATTATAATGTGAAAGGATCATGCGTACTTCTCGAGTAAAGAAACATTAGCTGTGAATGCAGGGTCTCCATAATTCACGCTGTTGCAACCGAGGTCGACGAGGGCATGCATGGAGGGGATCGCTTCAAACGTACCGTTGCCCGAATCCGAATCTCGTTGCTTGGATCAGGCGATGCGTGGTCAGATTGATGGCAGGGTCATCCACACCGGCACTGCCGTTATATCCCTCGAAGATCTTAAATGCAGAGAGAACGATTGAACCGGAAGACGGGGCGATGGTCGAGAAAATACGATGACCACGGTAGGCTAAGAACGTGAGCTTTGAGCAAGTGGAAACTGAACAAGCAGAATGGCTTTACTGATGTTGGCAGGCTGACGCATGATGATAGTGTAATTCGCGAGGTCTTCGGTGGTCATAACACCTCCGCGAGCCTTGATCGCTATACCAGTCATTCATTGAGCGGAGGACTTCCTACATTTAGCGGTATCATATACCTTGTACAGTGTTATTCGCTAATTCACCGGTGTAGAAGGCGTTCGCGCCATGTTCTGCAACCCTAAAAAAACGTTCGGATAAGGTGTTACAGTATAACAAAGGAGACCAATACGCACTGTTCCAAGGTGTTCGCAAAAGTCTATAGACGACTCAGGTTAAAAAGAATTCGCACGAATGTAACTGTCACAAACAGGACGGAAGACAGTATCGTTGAATTTCAAAAGGGTGCCATTGGGTGCGTAAACATCCTTAAAGTTCTTATCAGTCAAAAGAAACGGGTATTTTCCTGGATAAAGATTAGCTCCCAGCAAAGAAATATGACCCCAGTCTACTCACCCGCATCTAGTCTGGCGGCCAGGCCAAGATCGACTTGGAATCCTTCCCGCGCGAGTTTGATTGCTGGTTGAAACAAAGTCTTCCACGGCAGTTTGCCGTGCAAGCTATGAAGTTTCTCCCAGGCTCGGAATTCAGCTGGAACAGCGACAGCAAGGCCGCCAACCGTTGAAATGTTGGGGTTTGTCGAGTTCACATACAAGGATTCAAATCCAGCTGCTGGCATTGTTTCGCGGAAATCGATCTACGGAATTCGGAAATGGTCATTTACGATGAAATGAAGACTGTGAGGGATTTCGTCACCATTTGATAGTCGTGGGTCGTGGAGGACGTGTTGTAACGAATGCTATGATACGGTCAGTACTCGGTGTCATAAAAGTAGAACTAATGCTATACGTCATGAATCCACCGCCACCAATGCCAGAGTGATATGCAGAAATGGTGCCAACACATAGACAGGTAGCAATCATCTTCAAAACGGGCAATGGTCACATCAGTGGATGAGAAAGCGTTTGGATGGGTTAAAAATTCGTACTGCATCCGCCGCACTTCCATTTTGCTTGAGAATGTCCACCCCTATATTACTGCAAACGGCAGATTCGCTTGCCACTGCACCATGTGTTCCAGACTCTGACAGGGCCAGAACTGAGGTCAGATTGCAAAGGACCAACGAAACACCGAGAGCGACGGCTGAAGAAAGACGCAGCATTGGAGAGGAGCCTTGTGTCTTGCAGGACTTGGAACACGCCCAACTTGACCTATTTTATACCCCTCTGCATACGTATTGTACTGTCAGGTTGAATGAAAGCAACTGAATGACGGAATACTTCAGGAATTGTAATTTCCGGAGTTGGCTGTTCACGCCAAATAGA